TGGCCAAACACTTTTTTAGAAGACAGGAATTCAGTCCCTAAATATGACACCTGCATTCTACCTCCTGTTCAAATCTTTACTGGAAAACTATTACTCTCATCACACGTTACAAGCTATCCCAGTACAAGGTAGGGAAGTTCCAGACAATTTAAGCTGCAGTGTCTCTTGCAGTCCTTACAAACCACCCTAAAAATAAATCACTTTCAAATTCAGTTTTTCTGAATGAAGAGTACATAGATGAGACCAAATTTGCAGATAAACACTTAATAACTCTGAATTAAAGACCTTACTTTCTTAAAAGCCATTTCTAACCTAAATGACTCCATAACAAGAATGGGATGCTAAAAACATAATACCTGAAAAAAATTCTATCAGCCCTGAAGTGTAAGAGAAACTTCCTGTGTATTCATTAAAAAGTAGAATAGCAATATATATTATGTATATATCTATTTCCTTGAGATTAAAAAAACGCCCACCACAATCAATAGTGTTTGCCTGCCTGAACTTACCAATTCAGTGGGGAAAGGAATTTTTTTTTAAAAAGTAATCTGTGTATAATTAGCACAGGAATCTGGGTTCCCACAATCAGAAGCACCAGAGCTCCCACTGCTGTTTGCTTGTACTTAAGACAAGATGACGCTGTCGCTTTTTTCCTTTAACACTAACAGTGGAATGGGGGAGGGGAATTCAACAGGAAGAACAGAAAATAAATTACTCACTTTCTCTAATTTTACAGTGAACTAATTAACAAAACTAAGAACATGGCTTTTCAGCTCTAAATTCCTTTTCCTAGACAATCTCATACCCAGCAGCTGTATTTCGATGTTGAGATCTCACACTGCAAAAAGCTCTGAGGAGGCGGTGGAAGGTCAAAACAGATAAGGATTTCTTGGTGGCAGGAGGCAGCTGAGCACACAGAACTTCTCTCACCTCGCGAGGTGGAAATTATTTTTTTAAAGTCACGTTTTTCACTGGCACACGACTGCATAAGCTTAACCTATACCTGTCTGCGTTTTAACACTAATTACCACCCACTAATGAGATCCACTTCCCATGCTTTCGTGAGAAGGAGCTTTGTTTATGTAACCAGTTACCTGCTCGGCCACAGCCCTGAAAAGGCAGGAGCCATCCTTGGCCACTTTCTTCCTGTACAAGCCCTGAGATCGCAGGTAGCGGTCCATGGACGTGTCCCCGGGGGCGTCCCTGCCGCTGCCGGGATGGCTCTGCTCCCCTCCGCCGGCCCTGCCCGCCGCATCCATGTTCACCGCGGAGAACGCCGCACCCCTCCTAGTCCCACATGGCGAGGAGAAGCCGCGGTGCAGCTCCGGGGCCGGGCACAGGTGCAGCAGCCGGAGCGGGGGGCAGCGCTGGCCCGCCGGCAGCCGCAGGAGCAGGAGCGGGAGCGGCAGGAACAGCAGCAGCCGGCTTCACGTTGTCCACTCGCATGTGGGGAGCGCCGAGGGAAGCGGCAAAGTTTCCTGCGCAGCCCGGACTCGCAGCTCCGTCACTGCCGCGGCTCCCCGGCTGCTGCGGAGGGCCGGGGACAGCTCCGGCGGCTCCCGGTGCCGGGGGGAGCGGGCGCGTCCCGGGCGCGCAGCCGGCCTGCGGACGGAAAACAAAAGGGAAAGGAAGGACACGTGCGGCCCGCCGGGAGGGAGGGAGGGAGAGGCGGAGGGCGCAAACAGGAGCGTAACCTGGCGCTTATTTTCACTTTCAGCCCGGGCGCTGCTGGGAGCCGTAGTCCCGGAGGAGGAGGAAGCAGGAGGAGGCGGACACAGCGCCCGGGGCCGGGCTGTCAGCCTTGCTCCCGGCCAGGATCATTCCATTGCTTCTTAGTTTAAAACCAGCACCGGGGGGGGGGGGGGGGGGTGAAAAACAGCATTAACCCGGTAGTGTGCGCTCGCAGCCCACAAAGCCAGATGTATCCTGGGCTGAATCCAAAGTAGCGTGGGCAGCAGGGCAAGTGGGGGATTGTCTCCCCCTTTATTCCCCTCCGCTGAAACCCCACCTGGAATATTGTGTCCAGCTCTGGTGCTCCCAGCATAAGGAGAACACGGAACTGTTGGAGCAAGTCCAGAGGAGTCCCACGAATGGGACTGGGGCACCTCCCCTACAAAGACAGGCTGAGAAAGTTTGGGCTGCTCAGCCTGGAGAAGGCTGCATGGCAATCATACAACAAACTTCCAGTATCTGAAGGAGACCTAACAGGAAGCAGAAGAGGGACTTGAAACTGTAATGATGGGACAAGAAATAACAGGTTCAAACTCAAAGGGTGGAAATATAGGTTAGATATCAGGAAGAAATTCTTACTGTGAGAGTGGTGAGACACTGGAGCAGGTTGCCCTGGGAAGCTGTGAATGCCCCATCCCTGAAAGTGTCCAAGGCCAGGTTGGATAAGGCCTTGGACAACCTGGTGTAGTGGGAGGTAACCCTACACAGGGAAGTGGAGTTGGGACTAGATGATCTTTAAGGTCCATTCCAACCCCTTCATGTTCTATGATTTTGTCTGAAACCTAATCCACAGTATGTGGGCTATGTGTGTTTAGTTAGGCTTTGTTTGGTTTGGGGTTTCCCCTCAACAAATGAAATTGTAAGATTATTTTTTAACTCTATACATTTGCAGGAAAGAAGATGAAAATAAAACAGAGATAGTAAAAGAGGGCTTGATTGAAAAGGAGATTTTTAAAAGCCACAGCCATTCAATACTTTTAATGTATTACTTTTCTTGTATGCCACTCCTAGTTTTAAGAAGCCCAAACGTTCGTATCACAATTGCATGATTAAATTTTGCTCGGCATTGTAAACGGGGCTTAGAAGGTTTTGATGCACAAAATGTGACAAGAAAGGATGCTCTTCAAACTTGTAAGGCAACTTGAATGGAAATGCTGATTTTTACTTTCAGCTGACAGTAATAAGCCTAAGGAGGGTGCTGACTTGAGATCCCTAAGTAATAATAGTAAGTAACTTATTAAACAAACACAAGTTTACAAGCCAGCCCAAGTCTAGTGCTCCACCAGCATCACACCATCTTTCCTAACAGAAGCTCAGGTTTGCCAGAAAGGAGAAAGAAACAAATGCCAGTTCCTGATATCTTTGTATCTGTAGACAAGGAGAACAGAAAGTGAAAGAAGTGAAAGCAAAGCTCTACCCGCAGCCAAGCCTCCAAGACACAGTAAGGCAGCACGGGGATGGATGTTTTAGACAAGGTAGGGGATAAAAATACCAGCAAGAGGCTGGAGAGAAAGCTCCAACTTCTCCCCAGAATATGGGAAATCTAACAAGACTGAACTATAAACAGTTGCTGCCACTGACTCATCTACCACATTCACTCAAGGAACTCAGGGTAGCAGAGGCCTGCATGTGAGAGCTGCTTCTTCTGTAGATAAAAGTAATTTGGAAAGATGCTTTTGAGACCTATCAAACTGTTGACCAGTCACAGACTTTCTTAGGAATATCCTAAGAAAGGATATTTTTTTACTTACTCTATTTGTCATGTTTAGAGGCAATACTATGCTCTAATATTTAACAAATCTGTCTTCTCACATATTTCAGCCTTTTGTCATTGTGATTCTATAGGCTGGTGAGGGGAAGGGCAAATGCCTTTCATCACATCTGTTAGACTCAAGAATGCCTATACACACCAGGCCATTCAGTATGTGACAGGATGTAAATGTGGTTCTGATAAGTGAATACACAGAAAATTAGAGCATTAAAGTTGTCTAGTTGTCAGTGTGCTAAAATCCTGCTCTTCCTGCAATCAGCCCCTAAGCTGATCAAATGATGATGACCCACAGAGTTTTTTCCAAGTGCTGCTATACAAGAATCAATGCATTTCTAAAGAGATTTAGCTCTCGATGAAGAAAGCTACTCCGTACACATATTTGCTAAGATTCAAGGAGACATGCACCCACCCAAAGGCACCTCAGCACTAAAATAAATGCTCCATCAAGATAAGAATGACCAAATAATAACTCACGAGTTCTTACAGATGTTCTAACTAGAGTTCCTGCAGATGCTCTAATTAGAGTTAATACAGATGTTCTAATTAGCCGGCAGCTTTATTAACACTTTCGACCCGTACTTGCACCACGTGCATCAGCTCCAGCCACGAGTTTCTCCTCTCACTGCCCCTACCCTGAATCAGCCCAGGAAGCTGACTCAAGCTGAAAAAATTTTTTCAGGGGGAAAAAAAAAAAATCTAACTTTATCTTTAGACCAAGATTGGTTTTGTGATCCAGGTCACGGCCTGCCTGTCCCAACACCTGGGCCAGCAACCTTGGCGAGAGCAGCCCGGCGTTCCCCCGCCTCGCGCGCCCTTTCCCGGTTCGCCACGCGCCTTCTCCCACCCGCAGCTCGGGCACGGGCGGCTCGGCGGGGCAGGCCGGGGACAGACACCGGGGCAGGGGTGGACCCCCGGCCTCCCGGAGCCGCGGCCGCTGCCCCGCCGTGCCCTGCCCGCCCCCCCCGGCACCGCCGCCGCCGGGGCCGCACTCCCGCTGCCGCCAGCCCATGGCACTTACCGGCCTCCTATTCTCCTCCCCACGGGAGACGCTGGCAGTGGCGGCAACACCTCACGCTCCTCGCCCCGCCGTGGCCCCGGTACTTCAATCTCCCGCGGCGGCCGCTCCGCCCGCTTCGCTCCCGGTGATGCGCCCGCTGCCAGCCCCGTCCCGTCCCGCCCTCCCGCCGCGCCGATCTCCCCCCGCCCGCTGTTGGTTTGTCCCGCCGGCCACACCTGCGGCTCGCACCATTCGCCGCGCGGGGGGCCGCCGAAGGGGGGAAGAGGAGGGTGGGGAGCGCGCCCGGGCCCCGGGGCAGTGAGCGGGATGTAGCGCTGGGATGCTGGGCTGGGATCCGCCCTGTTCGGCTCGGGAGAGCCGGATGGTGCCGCGGCGAGCGGCAATCGCCTCATGTCGTCCTCACCCGCAAGGCGCGCAGTGGTACAGCCTAGGAACCTTTCCTTCCCCTCACCCAGCAGGTCCCAGCGAGGGGCGGGAAGTGCCATGTGCCAGCGCTTCCCTGCGCTGTGCGGCCCGGCCGGAGCGCCCCGCTCCACCTGCGGGGCGCCACGCGAAACGTTTCTAAGCGGGTTCCTGGCGAGTCCATTTTTTTCTTAGTGAGGTAGCAGCCCGGGGAATAGGTGTGGGAAAGGACAGGGGACACCGGCGTCACGCTGGCCGCAGGGATCACGCCACAGCCACACGGTTTGGAGGGACATCCCAAGCCTTGCGGCTTGGAGGGATCGCCCCTCAGCCACACGGGGGGATCACCCCACGGCCACGCAGGTTGGAGGGGACATGCCACGGCCACACAGGTTGGAGGGGACATCCCACGGCCACACAGGTTGGGGGAATCACCCCTCAGCCGCACGGGTTGGAGGGCACATCCCACAGCTGGTTGTGCTGCCAGGAGGAGAAGCTGGTGCCCTCGGTACGTGTGTGCTGGCGCAGTAATTGTGTATATTTCTAGAATGTGACCCATATACAAAGTGTATTCTCATATTCCGTTGGTATTCCTCGGAAATGCTCTAGCAGACATGAAGAAATACGTGAAATGCTTGTAAAGAAACAGTGGGAAGGTTCTGAGTAGAGTAAGCAAGTGTGTAGCAAATTCAAATTCGATTTCTTTTTCTCCTGACTAAAAAGCTTATTCAGGCTGGAAGCTCAAAAGCAGCATGGCCAGCAGGGCAAGGGAGGGAATTCTGCCCCTCTGCTCTGGTGAGAACCCACCTGCAGTGCTGCATCAGCTCTGGGGTCCCCAGCATTAAAAGGGTGTGGAACTGTTGGAGCGAGTCCAGAGGAGGACCGTGGACAAGCTCAGAGGATTGGAGCACCTCTCCTATCAAGACAGGCTGAGAGGATTGGGTTTTTCAGCCTGGAGAAGGTTCTGGGGAGACCTTACCTGCAGCCATTCAGTACCTAAAAGGCGCTACAAGAGAGCTGCACAGGGTTTTTTTTACAAGGGCCTGTAGCAATAGAACAAGGGGACATGGCTTTAAACTGAAAGAGGGTAGGTTTATATTAGACACTAGGAAGAAATTCTTTACTCTGGGGATGGTGAGGTGCTGGCAGAAGTTCCCTAGAGAAGATGTGGATGCCCCATCCCTGGAATTGTTCAAGGCTATGTTTGGTGGGACTCCAAGCAACCTGATCCAGTGGAAGGTGTCCCTGCCTGTGGCAGAGGTGCTGGAACTAGAACCCCTTCCAACCCAAACTGTTCTATGATTCTGTGAGTCAGCTGTCCTGGCCAAGCTTTCCATGCACTTCCTCACTGACAGAGCATGAGACACTGAAAAGTCCTTGACTAAGGGTAAGCACTACTTAGCAACAACCAAAACATCAGAGTATTTTTCTCATACTGTATCCAAAACAGAGCACCGTACCAACTACTTAAAAAAAAGTGAAATCTATCCCAGCCAAAACCAGGACATCATGGCAGAGGTGTTGGAACTAGGTGATCTTCAAGGTCACTTTCAACCCAAACCATTCCATTATTCTGTGATTCTCTGACCAGCACTCAAACACATGATCAAGCCAAAGAGTTTAGGGGGCATTAATAAATAAATACTTCAAGCTAGCTAGCATGAATATTAATAGTGGTGATAAAGCCTAATGCTTAAGGGAACACAGTTTTAAAAAATAAGAGGGTGATCTGGTTATAAAAAAATATTTTAAGTTGCCTATTTGCTTAGTAGTCCATGGTGAAATTTGTGTCCTGTCAAACCCCAGCCTGAGAGACAAAGAATGTTGGAGTTTGAGTTGTCCCAACCTCTTCTGAACTGAATCTGAACAGCCTGTTAAAAGTTTTAGTTTAATTCTTCCATGATACCATTTTATTCATGGATATCTGTGTGTGGACAAACTTGGATTTAATTCTGCTGATGAAGACTAGGCCTGGGTTTCATGTCCCTCAGGCAGAATAGAGGTTCAGTTATAGCAGAATATAGTAATGGTTGCATTATTCCTGCATGCTATTTATAGCTGCCTGCATCTTTGTGCTTTATGTGTGAGCCAAAGGTTGTACACTCCCAGGATCTGCATTCCTTCAGTGTGTCTCAGGGAACTACAAAAAATGCAGTATGCTTGACTTTGAAATAATCATTCCTTAAAAATTTAGTAATCATGTAACATCTTTCCTTCTGGAGAGCTCTGGTCAAGGCCAGAATTTTAAAATATTTAATGCCACATCAGATTCAAGGTGCTCAACATTCAGCTGGGCAGCACCCAAAAAGTGATGGGCTGATGGCATGGGCAGCAGCTTAGTATCTCTGCACAACACAGCAAGCAAAAGAAGGGCTGGTATGAGTTTGTGGAATGAATTCCTGTGGGAACAACTAATTAATGCTGTCCCACATAGAATGAAAAAGACAGGATAAAAGGGCTGCATGTGACACGAGGGTCACACTTCTTAGTTATACCAGAAGTATTATTTATGCTGCTGTGAAAGGTCTGTCTTCAGATTCTGGGCAGAATATCCCATTGCAGTCTCTAATTTGGGGAAGAACATTTTCCTTGGTTGGATTTCTTTTTTTTTTTTTTTAGACAAATGGTTACTATTCAGTATAACACAAATGACAAAAAGCATGTTGTGGTAAAAGCTGTTCCTTTCACCCTTGAGGGAACACTTCATAAACTGTCTTGAAGATGTTGGTCTGAAGATTTGTAAAGTCAAGAGCTGAGGCAAGAAGGTATTTGAGATAAACTGAGGCTTTTAAAAGCTTTCAGAACTCATGAATGGTGGTACTATAAGCACAGAAGGAAGATGGCAGAACCGTATCAATTTAAAACAGCATTTTTTGTGGTGTAAAGATAGAACATGAGTAGCTGGCTGTGAACTGGGGGGCTATCACTTTGGGTAATGTGAACGGGTGGTACATTGTACTAAAAAAGTACTATTTTCACAGTTTCTTTATGCTACCAGAGCTTTGTATAGGGTTTGCGTGGCAAGGTTTTGGCAGAGGAGGGCCACAGGGGTGGCTTCTGCAAGAGGCTGCCAGGAGCTTCCCACACGTCCACGGGAACCAATGCCATAACCCTGTTTGCAGAAGTAACTGTGTGACTGCAGCTAGAAAAAGCCAGGAGTCTGGCAGCAGTGTTTGCAGAAAAAATATTTCCTGTAGCTTGGAATGAGTAAACAGTAATACTTTGGAGGAGTGCTTTAAATCAGTCACCATGAAAATTAGTCCTAAGCCAGTGAACAGAAATGTTTGATTTAAATGGTTGTTTATATTAAGTTACAGTTGTATTGTGTCTTAAAGACTGATTTTTCACTGTTTGGTAACCATTAAAATGTGCTGATTATGGTCTTCATGCATAATTTACCATTTCTTTTTGCTAGCAAAGAGGATGTGGTATAGTTACATACATCTGAGACATTTCAGATTTTAACATAACATCTTAATTTGTACATACATTTCACTGTTTGGGAAGATGAGGACTGTTTAATTTCTTTTTTTTTCCCTTAGGTAGTTGTTACACATTTACTTGTGGTTCATCCCAAACTCCTAGTGGATAAATATAGGATTTGAAAGAAAATAATGAAGAAAAAAACCCTCTTTATAGTTGCTTTTAGTTGAATAAAATAAATGTATTTGATCCTTCTTCTTAAGGAGATTCACTAAATATGTTTTGCCTTGAAAAAGCTTTTAGTAAAAAATGGAAGTATACTTGCAGGAAGAGCACGTGATTTGTTTGATCTCTCAGTCATTCTAGTGTGTAGAACTAGTAGAGATCATCCTGCATCTCTTTATGTATTTATGGATGGAAATAATGAAAAAAAATATCAGCAGAGGTAATCCATTTAAGTGAGCTGGTTGAATGAACAGAGGTGAAGGAAATACTGCCACCTTGCTTGCAGAAAAAGATGCTTGTCAGAAACTGGTTCAAACACTTCAGCAAACCAAGATTAATCCTTCAGCAGCTTGAACAGAAAGTCCATACTGATTGATTTTATTTTTATTATTTTATTTTAGAGACCCAGAGAAGTTACCAGGGAAGAACCATTTTTTTGCCTTACATTTAAATCAGGCACAAAATCAGAATCTTCCAGAATCCAGGTACGTTTCTTCATGTGTATGGAGGCTCTATGTGATTGGAGGACCCTGTCTTTTAACAAGGCAGGAAAAAATATCATTCAAATATATAAATCTCTAATATTGCAGCAGAATATTTATACTTTGAAGTGTTTTGGAAGGGGCAGCAATTCATAGCACTATCAACTTTGTTTAAAATAAGTGCAAGTGCATGAAATTATATTCATTAATAAAATCAGCATAAGTCATGTTAGTAATAGACCTCTAGCGGTAAATAGAAAAAAATACAAAGAGATGGACTTTGTAGGAGTCAATCTTGCTGAGTACTAAGATTTTTTTTTCTTTTTGGCATTCCAGCTCTAACCTTCTGTCGCCCCTGCCGTTTTTAGCCCCAGAACAAGTGAAAATGTGTGGCGTGTAGGGGCAGTGGTTTTCCTGCGGCTGACAAGCCGGGGCTTGTAGTTCAGCTTTTGGTCGTTAGATGCCGGCAGCTCCCCGGGCATTTCGGGCTCTGGGTTTTCTGACGTGTTCAAGTGTGAGGAGACAGCACAGCAGGCACTTCGGACTGGTGTTTTGGTAGTGGAACACAGGCAGTGCACTCCATGCATGCTGTCCGACTCCAAAAAAACCCAAACCTAATCTCCCTCCCCTTCCCCAAAAATCTCCAACAAAACAAACCAGAACCACACCACAACAGAAAAAGGGGTTTTTGACTGAAAATGAAGGGTGCAGCCCAGCTCCGGAACACAGGGCTAAATAATGTCCATTTCTCTGAGCTCAGTCTGTCCCCAGCCATTGTGCTACAGCAGCTCTGAGGTGTAAATAAAGCAGCAGGGCATTGCCAGGTTGTTCTCCCATTTGTTCTGCCTCTGCCAGCTGAGCACAGGCACAGAAATGCACTCTTTTGTTGGCTTGATGCCACGACAGGCTCTTTGTATGCATTAGTGGCTCCCTGTGCCGTGGCAAGGTCAAGTCCTACTGTTGATGTATGCAGGGACAGAACTGCAGTATCTGTTTGTGATTAGAATTATGCAAAGGAGTGCCACTGACAGCACACTGCTTTGCTGAAAATACCTCTATGATCCTAGGTTCTGTCAGTGACTGCCAGCAATGCTCTTTGAAACTGTAGGTTTCCCACATGCTGTGTTGCATTTCAGTGGGATGCAGGCCTTCTGCACTTGAATGTTTTCAAGTGCAACATTCACATGCATTTTGTGTAAGAGTATTAATTCAGCTGATGGTGACACTTAGGGGCATTTAAACTGTGTAAGCCTCTACTGCAGAATATTTTCAGTGACAAGCCAAATTAACTAATAATGCATTAACTGAAAAGGAAAACAATTAAGTAAGGCTGCCATAGTTAACAATGTGCAGTTCCTCCTTAACTGCAGACCTTTTAAGCCTCTTTTTCATCTCAGTCTCAAAGCACAGAGCCTCTTGAACAAGAGCTTCCCTATCCATTTTGTAGATGAGGAAACTGGAAAAACAAAGTTTGATGATATGTACATGATCATGCAGGAAGTGTCTGATACATCTGGAAATGAAGCCTGGGTGGGTTCCCAATCTCTATTCTCGTGCCTTCACTGCCACATTGATTTTTCCATTTGCTGTACAGCTTTTTATGGTAATAGTGATGTTGCTGTTTTTCACAAGACAGTCTGAGCTGGTGTCCAGACTAGAACAATGGCCATGACAACTGTTTTCTCTTTGATAAAGTACCATAAAATGCACAGTGCTTTCAGGCAAGCACATGTGTCAGCAAAGAATGCAATGCCTGTTCCTTGACTTAAAAGTTTCTTTTTTGAGCATGGGGTTCAGACTTCACAGGATGCTACTCCATGGACTTCCATTGGTTTTTTCTGAAGTCAGTGAGGCTGTAGCTATATAAGTGAAGTCTGAATTTTGCCTTCTAGTTTCAAAGTAAGCATTTAATAATCAAGTAGACATCACAGTGTATTTTATGCTGGCTTTTAACTCAATGATATGCAGCACTGCAGCTGAGAAGGCTTTCATTGCAGCTATGTCTCAGCTTGACTTGTAAGGTTGCTAAAGGAATGTCTTGTTCTCGTGCCATATTTGTCTTGCTCTTTTTTTTTTTTTTTTTTTTTTTTTTTTTTTTTTTTTTTTTTTTTTTTTTTTGTAATTTGTTTGCTTTAGAGAACAGAACCAGACATAAGCATCTGTTTCTGAATTAGGTTGGGTATTTTGGGGGGTATTTGGGGGTGTTTTCACCCAGTGTTACAGATGGTTTCACTAAAGAACATAACAGTTAACTGAGAAGCCCAAGGTGATTCAGTGAACTGATGAAACTCCCTGAAAATGTTAAACTCTTCTGGCTCCTTGTCTTTTAAACTTGTCTAGCCACTAAATCATATTGGCTCCCAAATGAAACGAAACTTTGGGAACTGGAAGTCACTTTTCATGCTGTTTAATTGCCATTCTTATGTGGGAAAATTAGTGTAAAAATCCTGCCTGGGAATGCTAGCAAAATTGTTTTCATAATGTTAAACAAACTCTTTGCATCAAATAATTTGTTATCTGTTGACAGTAATTCACACAGGGTATACGCAGAAGTTGAGCATGTTTTACTGGACCAAAGCAGGAGTGTGTGAGGTGATGTTGTGTTGATCTGCCCAGCAGAAAACAGATGCTGTTTTAGAAAAAGACAACAGTTCTGCCAGTGTAAAAACAAAGGGGAAGAATTCTCTCAGAAAGCATCTTTTCTTGTATAATGATTTTAAAAGACAAATATTTCCAGTTACTCTAAATTTTTCTTTCCAAGTATTATTCAGAGACTTTCTTCTCTCTATGCTTTTTTCCTTTCCCATTCTTTCTGTTCCAGTTTGGAAAGTGTTATGATGACCATGACAATTTGAGGCAGTAAGTGAGGAAAGGTTTGTGAGGAGAATCGGCTATTAGACTGATAGAGTGGTAAAAAATGACCATACTTTAAGGCACGGTGTGATCTGAGGAAAGATTTGTTTGTTCAGTATCTTATCTGTGTTTGTTACTGTGTCACCTGATGTAATAACAGGGAAAAAACTCAAAACCTTGACTTCTTTTTTCCATTTGTCTGTCCAATTTCTCTGCCCATCCTCTGTTTTCAACACCGAAAACAAATGGTGAAAACAAGTGGAGACAAAATATGGAGAAATTTGAAGAGAAAGGGAATGCTAAAACTTTTTTCTTATTTATTCACAGCAGGAGGGGCTTGTTTCCTTTTGGGAGAGGGAGATGATTTCTAATAGCAAAACATTACTTAAAAACAAATGAAAAAATGCTACTGCATTAATGAATTTTGCATATAAATTTATGTAAGACAAAACCCATTAACTGAAAATATATATCTCAATTTAAATTTCTTTTCAGTTTCTTAAAATACAAACTGTTTTATGTAAATGCTTCTCTAAAATGCTCTAAATGCTTCTTCTTTATGAAAATCTTTCCTGATTTGCTAATAAAGGGAAGATAAAGTGATATACTCCAAGATGGAATGACGTAGCTATTGCATAATCAACTATTCCAGGATAACAATTCTTGCTTGGATAGGCTTTTCCAGAATAAAAAATCGGTTTACTCCAAAATAATAAATATTTTTCCAAAGTAGAATTACTCTTCACTGATTAAGTTCTTATGTGCTGAAATAAACTACTTACCTGAGAATAGGTGTATACAAACAACCCCTTTGTAACAAATATTTTAGTTAGTTTTTCTGGGGCAGCTGAGGTAAGATGTCGGCATCCCAAGGTTTTCAAACAAGGGGAAATTATGTAAGTTTTGACTGAAACAAGTACCTACCTAGCTCATTGTATCATTCCTAACTCACCGAGACATGCAGTATGGAATTTCAGAAGAACAATAATTGGGAGATATTTCTTTACAACAAAATATTATGGTTCAGGTAGAGATTGCTTGACTTTTTTGTTCAGTAACATTCACATTCCATTCTCTTCAACACTATCTTATTTACTCTAGCAACAAACTCAGCTGATGTGTTTGGCTGGTACTGTTCACTTCTGCTCTGAGTCTTGGCCACTGGAATTTTTAACATTTCTAAAGGGATTTCCAGGGGTTACAGACTCAGGAACCTTCCTGCTGACCAGCAGACCATCATCTCATCCAGATATTAGTCCAGTGCTCAGGCAGCAGAGTGGTGACTGGGAGGGAGACAGATAGTGTCTTCTCCTGCTAGATTAATCACATAATTGTCTGTCAAATTACTCAACTTTCCTCCACTGACACTGGAACTGAGACTGTCTCTATTTCTGCCAAAGAGTATTCCCCTATCTTTGGCTATATTTTAAGCTTTTCCAACTTGTGCAGGCTATCTCTGCCTATTATTTTTCTGACATCATACATTTTGCTGTCAGTAATCCTGCAACACACAAATAATTTGTTTTTTATGTCTGTAATTTATGCTCCAGAGTTGAGTAAATTGCTGCAGTTCAGACCCAATCCAAAGTCTAATTAAGTCACTGGAAGCATTCCAGTTGACTTCACTAGGCTTTACATCAGGCCCATAAGTAGTACTTGCCTGCCACTGAGTCAGAACTTATAAAAGACAAACAAAGCAGATCACTTTTTTACCATTCTTAGTCAGAAAATGCCAAGGTAAGAAAAAACAGTAAAAAAGAATCAGACTGTAGTTTAAATTGCAACTCTTTCAGCTGCTAGTCCTAAATAGTGCTTCATTCAATTAAAAAAAAAATTAAAAGCTATTTAAGCATCACTACATTAAAGGATTTTTGAAAAAAATTCTGGGTTTTTTCTTGTATTTTAATTGCCAATTTAGTGGATTCTACATCATGCTAACATGAGTAGAGCTCTTGTGATTGCTAAATGTTACTTTTATTTTCAAAGTCTCATTTTATATGTTGTGGGCATCAAAGTGCTGCAGGTAACACCAAATGTGTGACTCACTTGATGAACAAGAAAAATTGAATAGATAAGTATTTATTATTTCCTCTACTGAATCCAGGTTGCAGTGTGAGAAACAGGCACTCTTGCTCTTCCTAGTAATGCTA